CTCCCCCCACCCCCCACCCCCCCCCACAATGCCAGACAGCACACACGCACATACTCACATACTCCAACACACTCAACCCCCCTCCTCCCAATCCACCATAAAATCCGATACTCAACGGCTGTTATATCCCAGAGCCCAACTCGAGAAATAACTTGATCTACGAGTGCACATCAGTTAAAGCTGATTGAGAAGCATGCAGATTGAGCAGAAATTGATAACAATGTGAGATTTGATTAATCACTTAATCTAATGTCAAGTCCTAGGTGATGGAGATCAGATCCACCCTCTTCAACCTGAGACACAAACACTCTGATCCCCTGTTGTAAACCATTTTCCCAAGCATACTCATGCGGTCAGACCTTGATTATTTTGTGCCACCTGGGCCACAATGATAAACCCCTCTCTGATTTCTGAGTGTGACCCCCTCCCCATGGGTTACTGCAGCCAGTTTGCCAGCACTGCCACTACCTGGGTGGGCGTACCCCACCGGAATCCCACCGGCTAGGTAAAAGGTCGTCAAGGTTCTCATTAGCAGCTTTGAGAATTTCCTTGTATATTATGCTCTCCCATCAGGGGGAAAGTTCTTTGTTTCTGGCCATTTTGAGTCTGTAATTGAACCCACAATTGTGATGCTCCAGATACTCAACTAGTCTCAAGAAGGCCAGTTTTATTGCTTCTTTAATCAGCACAACAGTTTTCAGCTGTGCTAACATAATTGCAAAAGGGTTTTCTAATTATCAATTAGCCTTTAAAATGATAAACTTAGATTAGCAAACACAACGTGCCATTGGAACACAGGACTGATGGTTGCTGATAATGGGCTCTGTACGCCTATGTAGATATTCCATAAAAAAATCAGCCGTTTCCAGCTACAATAGCCATTTCATTGACAACATTAACAATGTCTACACTGTATTTCGGATCAATTTGATGTTATTTTAATGGACAAACAGATTGCTTTTCTTTCGAAAACAAGGACATTTCTAAGTGACTCCAAACCTTTGAACAGTAGTGTATGTATATATATATATATATATATATATATATAGATTTGCGGGGGGAAAAAATATGGGGGATTGGAAGTGATGCAGACAATTACATTGATGGAAGTTACAATCTATCTGCAATATAAAGCTGATCTACACCCCCCCCCCCCACCCAAAAAAAACTAACAATAATAATAAAAAAATAAACACTTGGCAGTAGAATGGCCTTACTGAAGAGCCAAGTGACATTCAACGTGGCACCGTCATAGGATGCCACCTTTCCACAAAGTCAGTTAGTCACATTTCTGCCCCGATAGAGCTGCCTCGGTCACTGTAAGTGCTGTTATTGTGAAGTGGAAATGTCTAAGAGCAACAACGGCAGAGTCGTGAGGGTGGTAGGCTACACAAGCTCACAGAACGGGATCGCGGGTGCTGAAGCACGTAGTGTGTAAAAATCCTCTGTCCTCGGTTGCAAGACTCACTACCAAGTTCCCCAAAATGCCTCTGGAAGTAACGTAAGCAGCCGCACACAAGCCTAAGTTCACCATGCGCAATGCCAAGCGTCGGCTGGAGTGGTGTAAAGCTCGCTGCCATTGGACTCTGGAGCAGCGGAAACGCGTTCTCTGGAGTGATGAATCATGCTTCACCATCTGGCATTCCGACAGACAAATCTGGGTTTGTGGATGCAGGAGAACACTACCTGCCCCAATGCATAGTACCAACTGTAAAGTTTGGTGGGAGAATAATTGTCTGGGGCTGTTTTTCATGGTTTGGGATAGGCCCCTTAGTTCCGTGAGGGAAATCTTAACGTACAGCATACAATGACTCTAGGACGATTCTGTGCTTTTGGGTCCTACAGAAATGGTTTGTCAAGATAGTTGCGGAAGAACTTGACTGGCCTGCACAGAGCCCTGACCTCAACCATTGAACACTTTTGGGATTAATTTGGGAAAGCCAGCCGGCCTAATCGCCCAACATATTGCCCAACCCACTAATGCTCTTGTAGGCTGAATGGAAGCAAGTCCTCGAAGCAATGTTTCCAAATGTCGTGGAACAGCCTCTCCCAGAACAGAGTAGAGGATGTTACAGGTATACAGCAAAGGTGGGACCAACTTCTAATAGTAATGCAACATGAGTTTGGAATGAAATGTTTGACGAGCAGGTTCACATACTTTTGGTCATGTATAGGAGTATCGTTCCGCAAGAGGTATTACCATAAGAAACGCGGAAGAATTCACTACTTATATAATACTCAGACGTCTTGAAATGTGCAGCAAACCGCCACATGGGAGTTGTTGTGGTAGTTGCCTTCAACATAAGTAAAATATTAATGGAGCACTGACGACACTTTGAGCGTTACCGAGTAGAATTATTGCAATAAGAATTCAGAGGCAGGGGACACGACACCCCCATAGTAGTATAATATGCCTCTAAAAAACAGGACCTTTTTAAAGGGAATCTTTCACCAGACTAGGGGCATGAAAAATAAATAGTGTTTTGAGCAGTGGTCCGCAACCAATACAATATAACCTACACTGTTCACCCGGTGAAGGTTGTTGACCGTTGGTCAGCAGGAGACGGTCCACATTTTATGATTAATTTTTTGTTTCCTAGGAGACCATTTAATGCATCTAATTTATTAGTAAATTTTAATTTGCCACATCCAGCAATACAGAGGCCATACGTTTTAAATCATACTGTGAATCAAGGAGTCTGTGGATGCTTACTCAGTGTTATCTGTGATATATGTTAGTCAAATGATAACCTCAAGGAACAGGGCCAACACACAATTTGTCACGGTTTCGGCCCCGAGGCGGATCTCTTCCTTGATGGGAGGCTTCGGCGTTCGTGTCTCCGGATACTAGTGCACCGTTGATGTTTCTGTGTTCGTTTGCTTGTCTGATTGTTTGTTACACCTGTTTCCGTTAGGGTAATTAGTGTTCCTATAATCTCGTTGTGTGTTGACTAGTGTTGTGTGTTATTGTTCCATGTCTTGGTTCGTTGCAGAAAACGTATTGTGCATTTTGCTCGGTTGAGACTGGTTCCCCTAGTTTGGAGTGTTTTCGTCGCACCTGTTTGGCGCGCGTTAGGTATTTGGTCGACTGCGTTGCGGAGTTAAGGTGAGTTTAGGAAGTTTCGCTTCGGGCTATTTAGTGTTGGTACTGTGGGTATATTTTTCACTAAAGTCGTTTGGAATATACTCTGCGTCCTGCCATGATTCCACCACCACACCCACCTACTAGAATCCTTGACAGAATAACACACCTTTAAGTATGGACATCAGATAGGAGAGAGAAGAAGCCAGGGAGGAGAGGGGAAAAGGGAAGGGAACAAGGGGGAAAAGATACGAAAAGAGTGGGGTACGAAAGGCAGGACGGGGATAAAAAACAAAGCAGAGGCGGGCGGGAGGTACGAAGAAGAAAGCCAAGAGAGTGAAAGCACACAGCGGGCAAGGAGGAAGAAAACGTGCAGCTACGCGAAAACAAGGGGGGAGGTCGAATCTCGATCCCGAGAGAGAGAAGGGGACCGCGGCCGGGTGCGGTACAGGGATTCCTCTCCAGTGGAAGCGGTACCTGGCACACCGTGGCAACAGGCGACCTGGGACATGCAGAGCGTGATCCGCCCTGATCTCTGCCTTTCGGGAAGAGGAAGGCGTTGGACTGGGCCAACGCGGAGTGGAGGAGGATGACGCGGACCCACACCTACGACGAGGTTTCCCGCCGCTTAAGGCGGTTGTTTGACCATCTCCGGAGGGGGGGGGAAAGCGGAGGGGAGGGGAGCCTCTGGTCTTCCTCCGCAGGGAGGAGGAGTGGCCCAGGAGTTGCCCTGAATTCCGTACTCTAGAGGCGGAGTGCAGGTGCAATGAGCGGGGCGGCGCTCTACGATACTACGATGTAGTCTTCGCCGAGGAAGTCGTCGCGGGAGATGGAATGGAGGGGAAACAAGAACAGTAGACCCGTTTGGGCGAAATGTCAATACAAGGGGAGAACTAAGAGCTAACGAGGCGGGCGAGGGGGGTCCGTCAATTTCACCCCCAGCGCATCCGGAGCGTGGTGCCCCATGGAGCTCGGGGGCGCTGGCGCTAGAGAGAGGAGGGGCGGCTTACAAGGGGGTCAATCTCCTGCACCAACTGTGGTCGGCGGAGGACCACACGCGGCTCTAGGTGCTGGGGATGGGCCTCCTAGGGAAGACACGACAGGTCCTCACTGGGGATTCCTTCCAGCGTCGGGTGAGAGGCGCCCCACTCACCAGAGTCTATGGTGCACATTTTTTTCTGTATACTGGGCGTTTTCCACAGGTAGACCTCATTCCAGCCATAGGCGCTGAGTAGATTCAGGCGCAGTGGGAACTTTGTTGATAAGAAGATTTGTTTAGCCTTGGGATTCCCCTTCTCCCTGTTGATGTACTTTCCCCGTTCACTGCCCTAGTAGCCGGTACGTTGGGTGCGGGC